GAGGCCGACGACTGGATCATGATGTTTTGCGGCGTACGTTGCATCGATCATAAATATTGAGTGGGCATATTCTGACAGACTATAGGCTATGTTTGTCGTTTTTGTCGTCGTCGGACAGCTTGGTAAGTCTAGCATTTGTTCGATCCTATGGTCCTTACTAACAGCCACACAGCCGGTCACGTTGCCTTTGGAGAAGACGTCTGGATGGTCGAGCCAGATGAACTCACCTTAGGATTAAAGGTTAGAGGGAAAATCACACACGAATGATACATCAGATACTAACCTTTGCAGCTCTTCTTCATCGACGAAAGCATGTACCTCGCCTGCCTAGGCCTAACCAAGATCTCAGTACTCTTCTTCTACCTCAGGATCTTTCCGAACAAGTCCTTCCGATGGGCAACGTACGCGACCATGACATTCATCATAATATCGACCACGGTGATTCTCTTCATGCAGATCTTCCAGTGCATCCCCTTGGATTTCAACTGGGTTGGCTGGAAAGGAGACTACGGTCCGCACCACTGTCTGAACATCAACACACTAGTTTTTGTGGCTGCCGGGCTGAGCATCAGCCACGACCTCATTATTCTCGCCTTGCCTCTTCCGCTGCTGTGGCACCTCAACACTTCGAAGCGCTCCAAGATAGGCATCCTGTTCATGTTCAGTCTCGGCATCTTCGTCCTCATCACCTCATGCATCCGGCTCCGCTACATCGTCTCGTTTACGCAATCACTCAACCCGACGTGGGACTTCACGGACCCCCTCATCTGGTCCGGTCTCGAGGCTTCCGTCTCCATGATCGTCGTGTGTCTCCCCGCGCTCCGGATTTTGCTGAAGCGCGGCTGTCCCAAGCTGTTCAGCACGATTGGCACCGCGGGGCCCCACTCGGCGCCGAAGAAAAGTTCCAACACGTCATCTCGGAAGGCGTACGCCATGAAGGCGGCCGAAGATGGCGATGGAGACGGAGAAGGAAACTACAACGCGATGAACGAAAGGGACGAAGAGGTCGCCGACGCACAGTACGCCGCGAGCGAAGCGAGGGCCGCGAGGAGGATGGCTGAGAAGAGGAGCAAGTTCTTCTCGTTTCGGTCGACGACCGTGGAACCGAACGAGAGCGAGATCGAGCTGGAGTTGGGCGACAAGATGCGGGGCGAGGTCAGGACGCAGATCCGGTGCCATGATGGGGAGTCTGCTTCGAGGGGGAGCTCTATTGAATCCGGGATTCATGTGAGGACGACGACAACTATCCACGACGCAAATGGGAAGACATTCTGAGACGTCAGATGGGATGGACGATTACGCATACACGAGTAGGTCTAGGGGATTCGATTTTTTTGCATTGTTTTCGCTCTGGAAACTACAGTACTTAGGAGACGGATGATACCATTGCATCGCAAGGCGTTGGATTTACTCAAGGGGAATTCTCTACAGGAAAACATGTATGGATATAGTGAAAAAAGTAATATCATGTTTAACTATCAGTATACCTGAATGGCTTCTAAGACGAGCAGATTTTGATCGATTGTAATAAGATAGATGTCTCAAGGGCAACAAAAAAGGTGTATCGAGTGAAGACCGACTCGAGTCCGACGATTAGACGACGATTTACTTGCCAAGAAAGGCGTTCGTTCATCCGGGGTCTCCCATAGTCCACAACTAGGGCTTGTTTCATCAATTCAACGTCTCTCTGAACACCGCATGGGCCGCTGACAAGGATGAATCTGGTGTAAAGTACGTGTACATAAAATAGCTCATAACGTGCCCGAAGATTCTCGTCCCAACAATGGCCTGATTCCATCAAGGTTTCGTAAGAGGGGATGGGGATTGGTCGATAAGTTAGGGAATGATCCGGCTCCGCGTGCGATTTTTGGCCGTTCGGCGGAGTGACTTATGATCGGGGGGAGAAGGCGGGGAGAAAGATGCAGAGAAGAAGTTTGTTTGTCATTGCCGTTGAACAAGCATGTTTTCTGCGTCTCATATGTCCCGTCATATGAGACGCCAGAGGTATCTTGAAGGGCTCGGCTCGGAGGGATTGGGTGGTGTGTCGTTGGGTAGCCCAGGTTATCTTACGGCACTGCAGACTGATCGTTGCGCAGTAACAGAGCAATTCTTGGTTTGAGAGCAGCTACACGATGATCATTGCAACATCACGAATTGAGGGGTCAACCGCTGAGATGAGCAAGTTTGGCTCAGCTTTGTGGCACCTTTGTGACCATCTCTTCCCATGTTGGTCGGATACTTGGTGACTTTCCCTAGATTCGACAATGAAGTGATGTGAGTATAATGTTCATGATCTACGCAGATAGATGATCCGTAATGTCAATCAGAAAAGGGAGTGAGAGGTTGACCCCCTCACCTCGGGCCAACGCCGTTGCAATAATCCCAACGACTGTGAACTCTCTATTCTCAAGTCTCCACTGTTCGATGTGAATTAGGGCGAATCATCGATAGTCTTGATGAACTGAGGCTATTGAATGATCTTCGGTCCAGGAAAACGCATTTTGGTTGCGTGCAGGCGTGGACCGACTTTTTGTTGAGCCCCTCGATCACAAGCATCTAATTGAGAGTATGGCTCGACAGTTGAGGCTCAAGTACCCTAGTCACATCGTTGGTATGGTAGTGGCGGGTTGAGGCACCTTCTGATAGTAGAAAAATCCCATAGTGATCATGCTAAGCCGCGGTCCCTCTTGATACCCCATTGATGCGCACGACAGAGCTCATAGAGTACGTCCAAGATGGGTGTTGCTACAGATCGCTTGTGTGCTTCTCGGCAGATTTCACCAAGGATATTTTCGTGCTCAATCAGGTTTCCCTGGAGAGTATCAGTGAATAAAGCCGTACCAAGTCAAGCTCATGGGTGGAGGGGAAAGTGGAGGAGTCATACCTTATCAAAATCTACTTGCATGCTGGGTTCAATATTCTCATCGATTGGATTCATCTCTATAGCCTGTGTCATGGCGCTTGATGGGATATTGTGACCTGTAGCAGCAGCTACTGCGATTACTTCTTTCATGGCCGGTACGACCAAAGAGTACATGGAAGCATCCGCCGTCCGTAGCTGGCTAGCGTTCACCCTCGTTAAAGCACAGATGGGGTTGAACGAAGCATTGTAGACGAGTTTGATCCACCGGTCGAAATCGACGTCTGGCTTATAGAGGCATACCGTCTTACCTCCGGCACTATACATCTCAATGAAGCGTCTGGCGGCGTGTTGCTGTTCTTCCAGGTCGATGTTGGGGTTGCGAAAAGCGCCGATGTGGAGGAGATCGGGCTGCTTCTGTTCGACGACGCCTGGTGAATGCTCGTGCGCGTCGATACGGCTTACTCCAGAGAGAACAATGGTTGTAGGGAAGCGACTGAAGAAGGGTAGTTGGATGTTTATGCCGTTTTGGATGAGTACGATGACCGTCCGGCCTGGGACGACGGCTGGAGCGATGATGTCTGGCAGGCTTGGACCGGCGTCTGGGACGTTCTTGGTGCAGCAAACGACGTAGTCAAAAACGCTATCAGAGCCCGAGTTTGTTGATGCCGGGACGCTATTCAAGACTAAGGGGATCGCGAGTACCATGAGCGACATGGTGAGAAGAAAACCAGGTTAATGGAACTGACCTTCGGTAGGCCGCCAGCCTTCTTTGTCGCCGTGTTCGCAAGACTTCATCGTAAATCCATTGCGCTTCACGACATCGAAGTTGGAGCGGAGGACTGCGGAGACCCGAGCCAATCCTCCGGCTTCGAGGTTGAGAGCGGCGATTGTGCCGATGCCTCCACATCCGACAAGGAGGACGCGCGCTTTGTCGGATGTCATTTTGAAGACCGTGATCCTGCGTATGCCTGAAGGTTGTTCCAAAGTTTCTTGAGAAGAATCTGTGAATGAATCATTCTTCTGGACGACCGCCAGGCAATATCATCCCTGGCAGCAACGGCACATTCGAACGGGGCTAGATCCGGGACCGGACCGGCTTTTGGCTGACTGTTACCCCGCACCCCACCATATAGACCCACAATCAGGCCCGGACCGGCTCCAAGGCGCTCGGCGGCTTCATCCGAAGCGCATGGGTTTCTTCTACATATCACTTCTCTCGTGACGGCAGTATGATCTTAGAAAGACATGCAGCCTGCAATGCGGTTTACTATTGGCCGCAAGTGCAATCTTCCAAGGACCCAGGGGCTTTTCAGGCTATGTGACGACTATATTCATCACGAGTCGCCGTTGTTACTCTGATGCGAGTCCGGATCGTTGCCTCTCAGCCTCTACTTGAGACAGTGATACCTTTCCGAGCGGTGAAGCCGGTGACGTGGCCCACAAACTCGGAACACCATGCTTTCTTGAGGTTCCGAGAGCGAGGCACAAAATCGGTGTTCGTGTCTGAGTGCTGGCCTGAAACCTGCGAACGTGTTCAGTCCATTCCAGCGCCCCTGTCGTCGGCCATCCCACAAGACCAGATAGTTTGACAGCTGTCAGGGCGACGGCACCGCTTTCTTCTCTTTCTCTCGGTTCTAAGTTATTGGTCCAACCTTGACGTTGCATTGGGTCATCGCTGCTTCTTCAAAAGAAGAAAATCCTGAAGCCCAAGTCCGTGGGGGACCTTGCACATTTACAGCTGACGCAAGGCGTAGAAGTGAACACCGAACCACATCTGCAAAGGACAAGGATCGCACAGACCATTTGCCGCAATTTTGTTGGTTCCTGGCCGTTGGTTTCAATGTTTCTTCTTCCAACTCAACGACCAACCTCACAGGCCCCTTTTCCTAACACCTACGGTTATTTCCCCCGAGTCTCCCGCACTCACCCCAATTCTCTCGACCGGAGCATTTCGATTTCGCTTTCTAAGCTTCCTTGTAAACCTAGTGTGCGGTCTAGAATCCAGGAACCCGTAGAGGAACAAACCTTGGCCCATCGCAGCAATACCAATAAGCGCATCTACTCATCGGAACTCTCTTTTGAACCGCACGCCAAGTCCGTCTCCCACTTACCGGCATCCAATCAGGAATTCGAAGCAATGGCACGCCAGGGCAATGTAAAAACGGCCTCCTCAGGCTCGGCCGCGGCAATGGGCTCATCCTCCACGGATCCCACGTCCGCACCCTCCCCGCGCGACCGCATTATGACGCACATGAACCGCGACCACCAGCGCGAGCTCTCCCTTTACCTGCGCCACTACGCTGGCCTCAGCCGCTCCGCCGCCTCGTCGCCGTGGCTCAAGGATTGTACCTTCGAAGGCATGACCATCGCGGCTGGCGGGCTCGGCGGCAAGGAGTTCTTCATCGAATTCAAGCCGGCCCTCACGGCGTGGGAGGACGTGCGGCCCGCCGTCGTGGAGATGGCGCGCGCGTCGCAGCAGGCGCTGGGGTACAGCGACATCACCGTCGGGCACTTTGCGCCGCCGCAGGGCTTTGACGTGGTTGTGTTTGGGGCCGTTGCGTTCTACTTTGTCTGCTGGCTCACGCTTGGGTTTGTGCTGCCCGGCACGCCGATCTGGTCCTTCCTCCAGACCGCGTTCCCCGGCGGCCCAAGGTTCTATCGGTGGTTGGTCAAGGCCATATTTCTGCCCGTCTTGGGAATCCACCTGAGCGAGTGCTATTGGTTTCACCGCACGAGGCTTCACAGGCACGGCATCGAGTTTGGAACGGGCTTGTGGTGGACGTGGATCGGAAGTCTGTTCTTTGAGGGACTTCCTGGCTTCTGGAGGTTCGATGGCATTGTCGCGGCCAAGAGGCAGGAGAAGGAGAGCAAGAGCCACTGAGTTTCTTTGGAGAATCATATGGATCAGGCTTTTCTGAGGCGACGATAGATCCTCCGGATGCGATGAGAGAGCTTCATACGGCGCTCGACTCGCGAGATGATGAGAGCGGTCGACATAGCAAATCGGCATGACCGCTAGCAGCGTTTCGCGATCCGGATCTTCCCTCTTCAACAGTTGCGGTCAGCAGTAGATCCATGAGAATTGGCAGGGTGAGCGGTGGAAGAAAGGACGTTCTATGTCGGATTCAGCTATCTCTATTGACGAGCGTAATGTTAATTGATGAGGAACCCCGAAAGACCCTTGGGTATTACGAAGTGAGAAATCATCGGAGAGGCATATATTTCCGGACACAATCTATTCCTTGTCAAGTTATCGTGTTTGCACAAACATGGCGGCTGTGAAGGTGTAAAGGTGACGTGGAATTGCTTCTTGCTTTCCGATAAGATGGAATTGTTGAGTGGCACAGTTGGGACAAATTAATGATGATTGCTCAAGAGCTGATCTCATATTGAAACTCATGATGAATGATGAGATCGGATGAGTCACGTTGAGATTTAAGGGCCGAAATGAGAAGGACCGCACCGACGAGTGAGCTGTTTGCTCTTTCCACCCCATTTCGCCCTCGCTAAGCATGGTAGACCCACTCTGGCCGGCACCAAGGTATGTACCTGAGGTTGCCTTCCCCGCGATCCCATCGTGGACCTCCCTTCCGTCCACCGTCCACATATTCGTTGCCGATATCCTGTCGCCTTCAGCATCACTGCGCTCAAAAGCGTTACATAATGCCACCGTATATGCGGACACCATGTCGATCAACGCTAGCTGATGCCACGTCGTCCGTATCCTAGAATGCACTACTTGCCGTCCTCCGAAGGGATGGCAGCGCCTTATTGAACGCCTCGGAAAGCCTTGCCGCCCAGCTGTCTTCTGATAGCCCCGCCGTGCACTTCTACGAGACAAACAACTCCATTCATGGGCGTTGAAGAAGTTCTCTTCAATAATATCTCACTTTCCTAATCGGACGTTTGTTGCGAGTTCTAATGGTGGCTGCGGCAAACCTCTTCGCAAGATTAGCGACCTTCAACAATGCTACGCTTCCGAACCATCGGCCTGTTTGCCTCCAGCAACAAAGCATCCCCGGATTTGGCTTCACCTTCCTAATAGCAAACACCACTTACAAGCTGTCCAATCGCATCTTGTATGCATATATCTTGGCACTACCAAATATCTTCTCCACGATCGCCTGCAGACCGCGAACCGGGGCCTCGGCCTACAAGATCGACATGGCCGAGCTTTCGCGACCAGGGGTGTGACATACGATCAACTCTCGACTACGTACTGTCACTGTCAACACCACCATCATCGGGAACCTGTGCACAAATTTATTTCACCACTCCTTTCAGTATCGGCAGTTGAGCAAGTTCAAACATTGTCCGGGCAAACATCGAACAACATCGATTTGCTGAGCAAAGCATTGCGCTGAAAGAGAGGGTCTGGACCGTCTGAGATCATCTTGCTCTCGGAAATCTGCGCTCATACAGTATCAAAATCATCATCATCATCAGCGATCTGAACTGCCCATTCCAGCAGATGGCAGAGGCGCAGTACAAACCGCAAGATTTCGAGGAGCAAACAAGACAAAGGAATGCATTGAACAGAAGATGATTCTCAGAGGTGTACCACACAGCTGGCCAAGTGTTGCCACTCTGTGCAAGACGCATCACAAACGTGATGGTAACTTCAGTCTCCAGATGCTCGTAGTGACAATACATTCCAGGCCTTGACACGGTACGGGAACTTGCTGCCTCGCGTAGAGCATCCGAGCTTTGCAATCCGTCGCGGGGAACCCCGATCTCAAATGACCCTAACCTCACAACGGTGAGGGGCAACCGGCGTTAGCCTCAGAAGCTCTCTATAGTTTGCAGGCGGAACCTTGAGAGTTTGTCTTTGGCCGTTCCCTAGCGCAGCCGAGGCGCGCCAATACTGCAACGTCGAGTCTGCTGCTCTTATACCACCAGACGGTCTAGGCGTCATCAAATCTGGCAAACTCGTCTAGGTATCTGGATCATCTTGACTGTTCTTACAGACTGTTCTCCTACCAGCAAACCAGGGCGCTAACAAGGCTTGCACCGTACCCGCGTCATTTCCTTCGCACCCATCAGACTCTGGAGACGAACGCGTGGCCATCATTTGAGAGGTGCGGTAATCTTGTCCAGCGGTACTCTCAGTCTGGTCTCTGAGAGGACATCGATTCTCACTGGCTGTAAACCATCTTATCCGTGCTTTACAGCCTTGTTGTGCCTTTCGTCTGTTCTCAAGTTGAACTCAATCCAATACTATAATGCAGTAGCATGACGCCTGTACGGAGTACCACTTCTAGATTTGAAGCAACGTACGTTATTCGAGGCTCGGTTTCGGGACTCACGCTTGGTCCACGACCGCTTTCGCTACTCGAGCGCGGGACGCTCCGTCTCTGACTTTGCTGCGCCCTCACTCACTGCATTGACGTTGAGAAAGTCAAATGATATCGATGTCGGGCTAGCTCTTCCAACTACACAAACTGGCGTCGGCACGTTTGTCTTGCTGAATACGCTCAGCGCGGCAGCGGTTCATTCGAGGGAGGTGTAGCACTAGTCTCCAAGGCAAGGTGATCGTATCCCGTTTGCTGCAGTATTGCGCCATCAGCAAACCTACTCTTCGCGACGGACCCTCTCTTGGGAATGGTATGGAAGTTGGTTGTACAGGCTATGAAGGAACAACCAATCGACGCTGGCATCAATCAACTCGCGCTGCCAACTCACTGACCCGTGAGAAGGCCCAAAAGGCGGCATGGCAAGTCATGGCACTGCCGCGCCGACCTAGCGACCCCGCTCCACTAGCTTTCGGTTACCTTGTGCTCGCTAGGTTCATCGTTGCTTAGGACCCTCCGTGCATACGATGGAGTTGTCTCACTGTTCCGCAGACTGTCAGTCAGCCTCCAGGCAAGCTGGGCTTCTAAATGGTCTTCGAGGTGCATATGCGGCTGTCAATGTGCATTTGATGGCTGCAAGTATCTCAAAAGAAGACGAAAATTTTCTATATTGTGGGCTTCAAGGTTGGATTTGGGAGTTGCTAGAAGAATTGAGAGGGGCAAGCAAGGCTCCCTAATTCGGATAGTGTTGCGAACTTACCCACAACCCGACTAACCCCGGTCACCTCGATAGACTAGTCGACTTAATGTTACTGAGGCTCTATCGGAGGAATCCCACGAACTGGCCTGCCATCCGCACCTTTGCTCGGCCACGACGTCCGTATGGACAGGGTTCCCTGCAGCAAACAGGTGAGTGGCCGACGCGAGTCCCGCCCATCTTCCAGGACTCCAACTGGCAAGCGGGCTAGTTATCCGGGGTATCCTTCGTGATAATGGGACGATTGAGGAGGGCATCGCGCATTCTTGGGAGCGACCCAAGGCAATCGGCGAGCTGGGGATCGTCCCCTCGGCAAGCATGGTCCACAATGGCTTCAGCAAAGTTCGTTGACATAAAGACGAGGTCAAGGTCCCCTCCTGTTGCGAGCCCAGCAAGGCGATCCTCTTAATAGCGCCTATCCGCAGCTTCAGGCTCAGTCGCCTTCTTCTGCCACGCCCACCTCTCTTCACCTCATCTCAGGTCTCCTAGTCTATCGTTAGTTGAGCTCTCTCAACCTCAACATCACCATGAGAGCCCAAAGCATCATCAAAAATGTCTTGAGGGCCGTGGCCACCGCCTCCAGTCTAGTTGCTGCCAAGCCGGTCCTCCCTCGCTGGACTGTTGGGCAGTCAGTGACGACTTCCAGCGGCCCCGTCGCAGGACATGTTGCTGCTGGCGTCGAACAGGTAAGTATACATGCGTTGGACATAATGGGCCTCGAATAACAAGAAGACGTCTTAGGTATCCGAATATTTGGGCATTCCGTACGCTCAGCCGCCGATTGGGCCCTTGCGCTTCCAGCCTCCAGTCAAGTTTACCGGTGCTTCTCCTATCAATGGCTCAGACTTTGTAAGCCTTCCCCAAAAACTTGGAAATATTACTTGAAAGGGTCAAAATTGATATCTCGTCAACGTTATACTGATGCATTTGAATAGGGACACCAATGCATGCAGCCGGCGAACGCTCCTACTAGTCTGGAAGCTATCATGAAGCTCGGTATTCCCGCTTCGGCTGTTGAAGTGACCAAAGCGTTGGGTGACACGGGCTCTCAGAGCGAAGATTGCTTGACCTTGAACGTGTGGACCAAGCCACAAACCGGCGATTCGAAAAAGGCTGTCATGGTCTGGGTTCACGGGGGTGCTTTCACCACAGGTACGAGTGGCTTCGTCTGAAGAAACCAAGAAAGCATGCACGGTGTACTGACTCGGGTTGCAGGAAGTTCCCGTATCCCAGCGTACAACGGAAAGTTCATTGCAGACCAGAATGACGTGGTGGTCGTGTCCATGAAGTGAGTAGTCAACGGAGGCTCGGGGAACCAGGTATCGTCAATGCTAACTCGGGTCAACCTTGAAGCTACCGCCTCAACCTCTTCGGATTTCCAGGCAACCCGGTCACCGCCCCGAATCTTGGATTCCTTGACATTCGCCTGGCAATGGAATGGGTCCGCGATAATGTGGAGAAATTTGGCGGCGACGTCAACAGAATCACCATCTTTGGGCAATCTGCCGGGGGTTCCTTGGTCGACTACTACTCTTACGCATACGCGTCCGACCCCATCGCCAGCGGTTTCATTCCCATGAGTGGCACGGCTACTGGATTCGGTATCTTCACCAACCAGACTGTGAACGCGAAATGGTTCAACGTCACGTCAGCGGTCGGCTGCGGTAACAACTTGACCGACCCCAAGGTGGTCTCTGACTGCATGCTCAGCAAGCCCGCCACGGATCTTCTCACCGGCCTTTCTTCGCAAGATGCCGGTATCGCTTCCGCTGGAGGTCTCTCTTTTGCTCCTGTGGTAGATGATCGTCTTATTTTTGCCGACTACAGCATCCGCGACTCGGCCAACGCAGGGTATCTCATCGGCAACACTGAAAACGAGGCTGGGCTCTTCAAGATCGGAGCACCTGACTTCAATGAGACATATTGGTTCGGTTTCAACCTTGTCGCTTTCAGTTGTCCCGCTGCCAGAAGAGCCGCGCGGGCCGTCTCCGCGGGCCATCCGACATGGCGATACCGTTATTTCGGCGACTTCCCTAACCTTGCTCTTACAACAACGCCGCCCAGTGGAGCATGGCACGCATCCGAGGTTCGTCATACTTTCTTTTTTCGTCAATACTCTTGGCTTGAGACATAGTAGCTGACATCGCTTAATTAGCTCCCTGTTCTCTTTGACACCGTGCCCCAGGCGGCAATCAACAGCACAGCGCAGGAGGTTGCCGTGGGCAAGTACATGCGTGGTGCGTGGGCAGCCTTCGCAAAGGACCCAGTGTCTGGTCTCCTCAATTACAACTGCCACGGCACGTGGCCGAACTACCAGGCCGACGGTAACACTCTGAACCGAATTTCATTCCAAAACCAGACAGGTGCCGATTTGGCTCAGGGCGACGCTTATGACGGCTTCTGCGCGCAAGTAGGAGTCCCCGTTGCTTGAGGACTCTGAAAGACGCTCTCTACAGGAAGCACGAAAAGTAATGAACTCATATGAAGCCACAATTTCCCACCATTTACAAGATACCATTTTTAATATACCCAAAAGTATTTTCTTCTCTAATGTATCGCATCAAATGACTCTTACTGAACCATGTTGCGCGTCCCATTGACCTCGCAAAGCCGCTTTCGGATTCCTGAGAAATCTCACCCTCATGCGTAAAGCATTGGCGATACAATGATGATTTTGCAACCATAAGCAGTCTCCATTTACTCATCAAACTGTAAGTTGGCTCTCGTAAATCTGATCTGGTTTCAGATTCCTCAAGCGATCTTCAAGATCTCGATAACCCGTCGCCAAAAATGATATTTCAATTCGGACCTGCAGGGCGCCCTGGGATATGACGAGTTAGTGAACCCCGCTGGAAATGAAGCGGGCAGGGGCGATGGTTAGGGGTAGCAACCACTGAAGGGGTACGTACATGCCCTGATTCCTGAGGATAAAAGGCCCGAAAAGCTGGCTGTGCACGCTCCAAACTCTAATTGGACTTCTTGTACGACTCCCGTCCCGAACATCGTCTCTTTTCTTATCCGTCTCAACTCCCATCCATCCTCTCTACAACCATCATCCCGGGTTTCCATCATCTTTGATTCCAAAAACAACTCCTCGAGGCATTTGAATTTGTTCAAAAGGCAAAATACGAATACCGAACCGAAGCCCCGGAAAGTCTCCCCGTTATCGGCAGAACAGGCAACGAGCCCATGTTCCTCGCTACCGGCTCCTCTGCTCAGCCTGCTTGAGTTGCTGCAACAATGCGGCCACCGGCTGCATCTTATCGCTCTCTTCAGCTGCCGAGTCGCTGCCGCTAGCCACCGCCTCTCACGTGTTCATCATGTCCGGTTCCCTGCCGACGAGGTACCTCGCCGACCTGACGCTGTCCGTTCGCTCCATCGACGGTTCGCAATGCAGTTAGCCCCTTCGACTGCAGTCCGTATGTCTCCGACGATCGTTGGCTCCTACATTGCCGCAATTGAACCCCTCATTTGCCTGACGTGGCATGATTTCGACCATACCTTTCACCGGAAATGTTCGTGGTCGGACGAGCGAGTTAAGGGGACGCGGAGGCAGTTGCAACGATCGGCCAATGCCGACTGATGTCGTCTTGGGTGACTTTGCCCGATCGAGTACCGTCAACGATTCCGGTGTTTTGAACTGTTAACCATCAGGTCAATTGAGGTGATTGACTGGGTGATTGTGAGTACTTACGGTGCTTCTCGTTCATGCCGTTAATAGCTGCTTCTCTCGTGCGTAGTAAGTCAACTGGGTTAGTTAGACACTGAACCAACAGCAAATCTATACTGAAGGAGCCATCCTCGACGGCCTAGGCGTCGCATTGATAATGGTTATCTTACACGGCTTCGAGTGAAGACCTCTTTCGCGCGCAATCGAGTAGTCTCAATCGTGTGCGAACCATTGGCAAGATTCTATGCGGACACGTATGCGCGACACTGCGTACTCCACCGTATGGGATAGAATGACGGACAGCTCCCCAGTTCCACCCCAGATGATGAGATCTTGCGTCTCTCATGGTTTTCTGGGGCGTCCAATGGGCTTATCAAGCCACCATCTCCGCTCTGCATTTGTCATTGGACTCTGCAGAGTGAGGCGGCACCTCTTGAGACACGCGCCCCTCTTCGACTACTCTCAAAGATGTTGTTCGCAAATGCGCGCACGACTACGAGCGTGGGGTCAAGGAGTGGGGTCGTGTAAGCAGCGCAGTCTGAGGGAGATATAACGAGACCGAGTTGCCTTGAAGCCTGATGTTGTTTTCGCTTGAACATCATCGAACAACGCCAATTCGCAACTGAGCACTTCATTCCTCACTTTCCAATTCACCTGTTCGTTCCAGGCAGCACAATTTCAACTTTGAGAAAAGAGCAGGATGTTCCAACCCCAGTGTTAGCGTGCACTACCTTACCCGTACGAGGAAATGCTCGCCGTCTCAAGACCAACCCCCTATACTAGACCTTCCTATCTGAACTCTTTTCATCGATACCACCGCAGATCATCGAAGAAGAAGTCCTTCGTCGATTTCACCTGCTTGCTTTCCCGGTTCAAGGCTTTCCACAATAGCCGGCCGGGCAACTTCTCACCGGACATGCCTAAGAAACACGAAACCCCTTCCTCCAAACCACCCAAGTCCTCAAGCACTCGAGCCGACTCAGACCTTGTAGTGAGACAAGTATCAGTGAGTCCTACCTCCTCGATTCCGCTGATTTGACGACCAGTCACTCACACAGTCAGGGAACACACAGCAACAGACTCTCTTCCCCAACTGAAGGCAGTGGGGGAGGAAGTGAGGCCCAGAGCGCCTCTCAGAGGTAGCCCACCTAATGCGTTGGACTTTGCAGCATGTTGACACCTCTGGTAGATCATCACCTCCACCAAACCCTTCATCTCGCAGATCCGAACTCGCAGATCGGCCTGCTCGCACTACCAACTCGGGAACTGGTCGAAATCGGACGAGTCCCACACCAGCCGTCATCGATAACTATCTGGCTTACCGCAAGCAAGCTTTCATCAAGATATTCATGGCGAGAGTCTGCGAATGGCTTGACGACAACGTCTATTACCTTGGGGATGCTCAAGATCAAGACGGGGACTGTCAGCGCGGCTCGAAGGCTTTCAGATCAGGAGGCGTCAATAAGAGAAGGGCTGCGGAAGCGCGTCCTGCAGCTGGTCAGAAGCGGCAACTCAAGGGGCGTGATCAAGACGACGAAGGATCCGGAAGCGACGAGAACAACGAGCAGAAGCCTAATAAGAAGCGCACGAAGACTGACGAGGATGATGACCGTCAAAAGTTTGCATGCCCTTACTACAAGAACGACCCCATAAGATACAAGAGCCATCGAACCTGCGTTGGTCCTGGTTGGCACGAGATTCATCGGGTTAAGTGAGTGTTATATCCAGTCAGCCATTAAACACTTCCACTAACACAGTGGAAGGGAGCACCTCTATCGCAAGCATCGCATCTACGCCTGCAACAGGTGTTTTGAGGCCTTCAAGAGCGAAGACTCACTTCACGAGCACCAAAGAGCAGACGTGCCTTGTCCTGTACTTGACAAGAAGAAGCGCAAGCTGGACCCAGGTGCGGGGATGGATCAAGAGACGGGGAAGCACCTCAGAGTGCGTAGGCAACCCGGTAAGCACGACGCCGACAAGCAAGACGATGTCAGCAAGTGGTACGAAGTATATTACACCTTGTTTCCGGGGACACAAGACATTGGAAGCCCTCCAAGTCCTTGTAAGTTTGAACCTCCAATTAGGATAGAAACCTGAGATGAGAAAAGAGCCCCAGTAATTGACCTTGGTATCAGGGTATGACGCCAACCCGGACAAGACGAATGCAGGCGACTCCAACTCGAAAGATGTGGAGTTTCTTAAGTACTTGCGGCGTGAATTGCCCCACATGATCCAGCGCGAGCTCGAAAAAGATCTCAATCGTTCATTTGAGAGATATGGAGACGGTCTCATGCATAGCCTCTCAGTCTGGATCCGGAACAGTTCGGCTAGGTGCGCCCAGATCTTTGAGCACATACCCTCACCTGCGCAGGTGGCGGACCTGGATGATCCCGAAACTGCGCGAGGATCTCGGGCGGTGTCGCCGCAGGTGTCACCCGATGCCAACTTGACTGTTGGTATCGATGAAGATACCGGCGCCGGTACCGGTGCCTTCGAGAGCACTCTAGATTTCGATTTTGGTGTTCCCGATATTGACATCTCCAACATCCTGAGCTTCGACCCGCTCAACGTTCCCTCGGACTTTCCGATCTCAGACGACCAGTGCTTTACATATCCCGACTCAGCCTATGGTACCGGCAGCGTTGAAGACGCTTCTGGGACTCGGCGAAGTTACATGTGAGAACAAGTGGAACACCTTGTTTTCATCGGATGCTATGTTTTCTTGGCACTTATACGTTCTCATCTCATCATCATGGTCATTGAGAGCTGTGGCACTTTGCCACAGCACAGCCAACTTCGAAACCATCGAATCTCACTCTTTACCCACCACTCCTTTCCCGCCATGTCTAGCGGCCACATCTATTTTCTTTTGTGCTTGTTATCTATTGTCATACTTCTGATAGTGTTGTAAATGTGTAGGAAGAGGTTGTACATCTACGATGAACTGGGTGCTTGGGTTCCTTATGTTGGGCTGCCATCGAGCTGCTTATTGTCCTTATCTCGAGCTGTTATCCTTAGTATAGTGGTCTTCCAGACCAAAACCACTCTTTACCATCATTCGTCTTCACTCGTCTTGTGCTCTACGTGCGATGTATCTAAGGGAACCGGATGACGACTTTGTTCTCCAAGTGGTCACTGTAACGACGGTAATACTCCGGCGCATCCTCAATGCCGATTTCAGCCGTCACCACAAAGCTCGGCTTAGCGACACCAGATGCGATCAAGTCCAGCAAAGGAGGTGCCCTCAGCAAAGGCAAGACGATATCCCTTTCGACGGACAAGCCCTTCCTCCATAGCGATGCCATGGGGATAGGAATCTCCGCGGGTAGGGTCCCGGCATTGGGCGCTCCTTCGGTGTTGTTTCCGCCGCCGTTGTAGACACCGCCGATACCCATGCCTCCGTACACGGAGGTCACGGCAACCATGTTCTCCAGCACGATGCCGTTGTGCGGATCTCCCGTAGCGTTGACGGATTCGAAGCCCACGCAGTCGAGGCTGCGAGTCACGCCAGCGGGCTCACGGCTGAGTATCGCTTCCACGGGATCTTGTTGGGAGAAGTCGATGGGGATGGCTCCGAACGATTCGGCTTGCTCGAGGCGGCTGGCGATGCGGTCGACGACGTGGACCCGAGAGGCGCCGCGAAGTTTGGCGGAGTAGGCGGCTAAGAGGCCGACGGGCCCGGCGCCGAAGATGGCGACTGTGTCGCTGGGTTGGAAGCCTGAGTAGGAGAGGACGTGCCAGCTTGTTGTGAAGACATCTGAGATCCTGAGGTAGTCTAGTTCGGATGTGGTGTTTGTTGAGGTTAGTGGGATCGGGATGAGGGATGTGTCGGCGTGGGCACTCTGGCGTACTCGGCTGGTACAGGACGGAAGATTGGGTCAACTTGGGTTGTCTCTTACTCCTGAAGACGATTATCCGTGCGGTCTCCGAACGGACTAATCATATAAAATAGGGGAAGGGAGGCGGGTATCTTCTGAGAGAGAACATACCTTGCAGTCCGCCATAGGATGCGCTCCCAACGCCGAAGGACAGGGGATGCGAAGGACCCCAGTGCCCGTCGTCGGCGTTGTCTGGGATGATGACATAGTCGCCAACCTCAAGACTCGAGATGGCGTCCCCGACGCTGGAGACGTAGCCGACGGCCTCGTGGCCGAAACCGTAGGGCACGTTGGGCGTGCCGCCGAAGCCGTGGTACATGTGTAGGTCGGAGCCGCAGATGGCGGAGGAGGTGATGCGGACGACGACGTCTGTCTGGTTGGTGATGGTGGGGACGGGCATGTCGATCACGGAGACGTTATAGGGCTGGCCGAATCAGGCTACAGCACGCATTGTTGGCATTGTTGCGTTTGTTATGTTGAGTGCCATATTTGCGGTTCAACTGAGGTGCTCGGGGGGAAGACGGTGTCTCTGAGCTGTATGCGATAGCAGAGAGAAGCTCTGATGAGAACGACTACTGGAGTCAGAGCAAGATATTTTGCTGCTCTTTTCTTCGATAGAGCAGTCGAGGAGGAAGAACAAGAAGTCATTTCTTATATCTCCTTGTTTCTATAGAGTCCATCACTTCGGGATGATGCATACAGGATATGATGATACGTCTACATCGACATCTCTGTTCGCCATCCCCATGAGTACCGTCATCACAGCGCCCTATAGCGGGAGTCTCAGCCCGGCATATCTTGCAAGTGCGGCAGAACAGTCATCATGCAAGAGCGGCCTGGTCCGGCTGCAGATAGGCGATGATGACCGTACATACGTGCCACGTATGCATGCATGCTGATCAGCCGAGGCGTTGATACCGGTGCCCTGATTTCAGCAAAGCCTCCTACTTGGCTTCCCACTGCTATCAAGTAGTTTTGTAAGGCTGAAGTTAAAATTAATTGCCTGCAAAAAAGTTCCGGTTACACCCCTGTCAGTTGCTGAGACTGGGTTAAGCATATCTCCTCAGGAACGGCAGCGCGCCGCTTACCCCTAGCTGGACTTCTTCTGTAGCCGCCAATGAGAATGGGAAGAAGTCGGGATGGACCCGATCTGAATTGGCTGATCACGTATGGGCTTAAGGCTTCGGAATGTCTTTCTAGTCTGTCATCAAGACCTGTTGTACCACTGGCGAGTTATGACGAGAGCCAAGCAAATACCTAATAGCAGGATCTGTTTAACACCCCATTGGATGAAATTGAAAATCTTTGGTAGAGTTTCTAGTCCTGCTCAGGCATTTTACGGATATAGTTTGACTGTAATTTCCGCGTCGGTCTCTCTTTGATTCGTTTCTGCGAACTTCTAAATGACAGCGAACGGCACTCGGCCAGTGAACCTCTTGGTTCAGACGAGGGCATAGCTCTCTCAAGTAAGACTGCAAGGTCAAATTACTAATTAGGCAAGTGGTTTAAATACAAGGAGATATACAGTCGCAGTCGGACCGAAGTACATCTTCCTTGGATATTCCACAGCAATGCAGTGACGACAATAGGATCATCTGCGCATATTTTGGGGATGCCGATTGTCCGTCTTTTCTCTGCATTCAAAGAGTCTAGCGGTTCGAACTCTACCGTTAACTTTTCCTTTCGAACCAATCGCATCTCCTCAACTGTCGAAGAGTTCTTTCTTTTCTTTCACTGTCTTGGTTCCACCCCTCACACTCTCTATCAACGTCATTCTTGTGTGGAAAGTCCTTCGTCATGAAGCATGCCACGCTCATTATAGGTGTCTTTTGCGGACTCATGGCTCCAAAGCCTACCAAGTTCGACACCTGGTCTGTTGACCAAGAAATTCCGCCACCAGCGGTCGTGTCGTCGGCCACGCTACCCAGGACGTCCCCGATGTTTTCGAGTATCTCGGGATTCCGTTTGCCGCTGCACCTGTAGGTGCTCTGCGTTTTCAGCCTCCTGTTACCTATAATGACTCTGCAGTCATCAATGTCTCAGCATTCGTAAGTCTAGTGGCTGTCTCGGTCATTTTTGCCTACCTCAACTTGGGAACGTTGAGTGTCTAACGTGCTGCGAAACAGGGCCCTGGCTGTATGCAACCGCCTGACACAGAGTACCCTCAAAGCGAGGACTGTTTGTCAGTTAATATTTTGACCAAGCCACAAGTCGGCGAGCGGAAGAAAGCCGTCGTTGGCTTCCCCGCTCTTAGCAGGAACTACATGTCGACGAGGTGGTCTAGACTCGGGGCGGCTGTCGGCTGCGGCACTGACACAAGCAATGCCACAGACCCTAAGCTCGTCACGGACTGCATGAGGAACCGGACCAGCGAGAAAATCTTTGGCGCATTCGGGCCCGAGGAGACGGGTGTCGGCTCTACGCCCGCTTTCGGGCCTGGCGTGGACGACATTCTCGTATTTGAGGATTATACTGGTCGTTGAGCTGCCGAGGCTGGGTACCTGATTGACGACAATACCAACGAGGCGGGACTCTGCCGTTCGATGCAGCCGAATAAATCAGACGCGTACTGGAACGACTTCAACTCCAGGTACTACACCTGCGGTACGGCCATCAGGATCAGCCAGACTGCGGACGATGGGATGCTGGCCTGGAGGTGCCGGCATTTCGGAGACTTTCCCAACCTGGCCATCTCTGCCAACCCACCCAGCGGAGCCTATCACGGTGCCGAAGTGAGTGCTTAACCATGCTGCCCGGACTTGTACATCGTGAGGTTAACTATTGTCTTTCCTCTAGCTTTCACCTCTTTTCGGCACGCTGCCTCAGAAGCTGCCCAGCACTGCAGTCGAGCTGGCGACTGCTGAGTTTCTTCGGGGGGCGTGGACGACCTTTGCCAAAGATACTTCATCTGGCTTACTTGGCTACGTTGGTGGATGGCCGATCCATGATCCCGCTCAGCTTACCCTTGCTCAAATTGCGCGTGACAACCAGACGGGAACAAATTTGGGTCTCGGGAGCTCATTTGATGGGATTTGCTTGTCTTTGCCGGCGATTCCTCTTTCCTAGACTTGTTGGTACGGCGTCAAGGTGCTCTGCCTGACAGACAGCATTCTGATATCTGCCACTCTTCCCTCAAGACTCTTGACATGTAGGCATATAGTCTGATACTTCGATAATGAGTTGAGTCTAATGCTTGTTGAGAACGTCTACATGTTATAGAAAGTGAAAGGATACGCCTTCGGGGTATTTTAAGGTTAGGGTAAAAGCAAACCCTGTGTTGAGGAGGATAGTCGCTAACGTTAGGCTGCATCCAAGCTGTTTAAAAACCAATTGATAATGATAGATAGATACGAGAGGATGTTTTTGTGCACGATCCTGAGGGTGTCTAGTAAACAGTGTGTCTTCAGCATAAGCCACGCCCTTCTGGTTTATTCCGCTAGTAGAAGCAACGCGTTGGTCAAAGGGTAGATTACGGTAATTAAGTGCTACTTTCGGTTACTTGAAGCCTAGAGGGCTGTGGACTAATCGGAACTGGCAAAGCTCTGACAGGTCAGTTGATTTGTGACTACATTAATCCACATCACTAAGTACCTTACTATACAATATATGCACGAAGCATTATTACTATGCAAAAGCTCGGTATTATGGAGTAATGGTTGATTTGTTGAGTACGCTCTGTGAGTCCCCATTGATGAGTAGACACTAAATGGTCGTCTTGATATGACTGCAGACTTTGATGAGTATACCGCCTAGTAATCTGAGAGCACGAATTGGAATAATGCGATGATGTCTTCAGAGGCTGGTGCTGTATTGTTTTAACGCGAACATCTCGTTTTATAAACCAATGCCATGTGATCATCAAGAGAAAATGTAGCAGCTTGATTTTTGACGATAAGATCCTTATTAAGACATGAAGTCCAGTGAAGAGAGACACACTGTCTCGGTACTACGAGGCTCTTGGGTTCGGATTTTGTTCGGATTTTATAGGCTATATCTAGACCTTTCATGCAATCATTAATGTCACGGTCGATCGCCATGCCATATCAGGACGTCCTTCGCCATGCCAAGTGTGTAAATGGTATTTGATCTAGTTATCATTTATTTGGATAACACTCTTCACCTTCATGTTATATGTAAACTTGAGAAGCAATTGTTTGTTGGCTTTCTTATTTGAGTTGACATAAAGTCCACCTTGCTCTTTGACGAATTACAACTGGACGTCTTTCTGGTCCGTACGACCCACGGTAGGTAAGGGGCAAATCACAGAGACCAAGCCAGTGTCATTTATTCATTTTATCAACGAGTCTGCTGTAGCGTATGTACATCATTTAGATCTGTCAAACTGTTTACGGAAGCTACTGCACTACTGTCAGGCCTCGCCGGTTAAGGGATAGCTTAAGGGGCATAAGGAGGGGGACCAAGCAACAAAGGATCAGCTCAGGTATATATAGAGCGCTAGTTGTATACCTCGAGGGAAGGGCAGATTTCAGTAATTTATCTTCTATACCCTAATAGCAGTTGGCCTCTGTGAGCTTCTTCCCTGTGTCATACACCTATTGACAACTGCAGGGACCAAAAAGCACTGAAACTCATAGCCTTAAACCACCCTTCAATGCCGTCCCGTAAGGCCTGTTATCTCTCTTCCTCCCTATATGCCTTTCTCTTTCTAGGAAAATACTGAGGGCCACAAATGTACTTCGCATGCAAGGCTCAACGATGGCAGCAGACAAAAGGAACGTGGAATGTCAGCTGTGCAAAGGGTCAGCTCTATTTACCTGACGGAGAGTCATCTTTGCTGACAGGTTCTGATAATTCACTGGCACATTTAAACCAACAAATGAGACCGCAATTGAGCAAGACTAGCACTGTTTGTCGTTGGATCTGTCTCAACATCTCAAGTAAACGCTAAAATGTGCTACTGTTTGCTATTTGGCCTATCTTAATACCTCAACTAAGAGTCACATGCTGTAGCTTACGCCTCCTTGGACCGTTTGCATTTACCACCAACATTACCACCTTGCCGTTGAAGCCGTGGTATACATCTGATGAACTTTTAACCACTACCTGACTTGACTATGGAGAATCTATGCATTTTGATTCACGGCCAAATTCTTGAATGTCTAGATCGCGTGAGCAGCCAACAGAAGCAGCTAGCAGCTTAGCATCGATTTGAAGATCGCCGAGGGGACGTTGGGCTGATCAGATCCTACCCAGCCTCCCAATAACACATCGTCCTGGTGTATAACCCCGCTTCGCGCGGCCTGCTCCGCTCCGCCACACCACCCTCAACTTATAGACCCCGGCGCGATATCCCAGGAAATATCACTGGCCCGGATGGTTGCTCTGCAGGTTGTTCAAGAGTCTTGATTCTATTGGCGGAACTGCAAGAGCCGCCAGTTGCCATGTTAATTTTCACGGCTTGGCTTTTTGGAGAGTGGTTGCGCGTTCGTCAATTCATGCGGCACATCAGGGTTTTGTTTGTCTCCTAGGACTAATTCTTCGTGACGATTATTGGAATGCTCCCCCATGATCAAGACATTATCAACCACCGCCTCTTCAGACCGCTGCATATGTCGGCAGTGGTCTGCAGCAACAGTGCAAGCGTGTTGTTTGTCTGACGGAGAAAAAAGGAAAGACTCCATTTTCGGCACATGCTGCGCCGCGAGTTGTTCATCAAAATTAATCTTGACCGATAACAAAATTACTCTTGCGCTAAATTCTCAGCTCGCCTACGCGTATGACAAGGCAAGCCACCACGACATGGCTCTTCCCGCCCGGGATGGCTGGCTAGGTGGAGAGATGAACGCTAGGCCCCCTCTGTGCAACGATATTCTAGAAGACCGCTCGTCAGCGTTCTCGCTCAAAAAGCCATGTGATCTTTCAATATGTGAAAGGGAGCCCCGAGCGCTTGGCACATCTTTCGAAACCCTAGTCGATCGGTGAAGGCCGTTGTCAGCGATGAAGATTTGAAGCCACAAGACTTTCAGTCCCAAGTAGCTGTCTAGCGCGGCGAGCTTTTCCACGACTGGACGTGAGACCCGTTAGTTACCCCCTGGGGAGGCTAAGGACGCACACTAGAGGGCATAAGCTCTTTTCTCCCCCCAGGTCGGGAGAATTAGCCTGCCCGTTGAAGCCAAGACGCCGATTTCCTAGTATGTTTTGTGTGCCTGGAACTTTGGCAATAGGCCGGCTGCGCTTATCGGGTGATGGCATTTCTTTTGGGGAAGCCATCTCCGGCACTTGCGAGGTCCTCGCCATCGCATCATCACTGCTCTGTCGTCACTGGGTGATCATAGGGTGACGAGCCACTTTCTCGCCTATCGCCAGACTGTCCAATCCGTGTGCGTGCGGCTCGCTACCAGAAATTGAAGAAGAGGTTATGCGTCGGCCGAGGTAAGCGGTAAGCGGCATCGCATTGCTACGTAATTTGCGGGAAAGGAGCCTCTGGTTCCCTCTTTTGAGTATTTTCGCGTGGCGTCAGAGTTGGTCACCTTTGGCAGTTGGGGGAGACCCGAAGTTCCGCGCGATATCCATCATCTCCGCCGACCAGCCCGTACTCCTGGAATCTCGCGACGGCACAACTTTTCCTAGCACAAGGATCCACACGTATTCCGCTTAAGCCTGGGCCTTTTACTTTTACCCTTGGGCGTTCACACGTGGATCGTGCAAGTTTCGGCGGCCCTCTTGATGTCTCTCCTAACCGACCGAAACTCCTCGATCCTTTTTTGCTTTTAGTTCATTGCGACTCTGTAATACTGTTGCTATCACCCTGTCCTCCTGATTTCTGGGCGCACGTTTGTTATTGAGAGCACGACTCCATCGGTGCTGCAACAGAAGCTTTCTTGAGCTCCGTTACTTTGCAACGTTGAACCTTTCACGATTCAGTCAAATCAGCGGCCAAGCTCCCCTGGAAACGGCCGAGCATCCCGCATCCGAGGAAGGAAGTCCCGCTTTGGGCGGCATGTGGCCATTTCTATATAGACCCATATTGAAATAAAGAGATAATACTACCGCGCGGGCTCACAGCCCAGCAAGGCCTCCGTTGCGGCGTGCGGCGTGCGGTCTGCCGCACCTATACTCATCACACCCGTCGTCGGAGAGAAAAACCAGGACAGAGTGACAGCGACGTATGGAAAAGGAAAGACGCAAGAAACAAAAAGAAAAATAGCACAAAAACGTACGAACAGGAAAACTCCCGACGCTCTTCTCCTCTTTTCCTGAGACTTGCGTTCCCACAAATCCACCGTCGACACATGTCACTGCTCACTACCGCCGTAAATTGTCCGAATCCCCGCCAAGGCCCAACCGTTGGACATTCGGCCGAATCACGAAGCCGGGAACGTGTCACACAACGGCCAACAGAGGGAGCATTGGGACGGAGACAGAGTCCAGTCTGGAAATCACATCGGGATTGCTTTTTTCTTTGGGGAGGTGTTAGAGGGGAGGCGTCACCAAGTGACACCAACGCCCAAAAAGCGGACGTGGCCCTCGGATCAAGTATAGATCATCCATCTACACTGGGACGTCGCCACGGAAGGGGGATTTTCTGATTGGTGTCCCATTGGCGCGGATTCTGGAACGTCCCCAGTCCAGTGTTTAGTGACATTCAAAGTGTCAAAAGATGGGATGGACCTACGGTACACTAACGGGACGGTGACAACCGTGTGCCCGCGATAGGGAGACACAATGGCTGAAGCGAACAATTCGTGCGACAATGACAGCTCGGGTACCACACGGGACTCGCTAGCAGCGTCGTTACCCGTCAGCCTGAACAAGAACGCCGAATTTCCATTTCTGGAACGACTGGAGCCTTTTGAAAACTTGAAAGAGGGATCACGGTGTCACATTCGACCTTTTGCTCGCTCTCTCAACTTCTCAACCGCACTTTTCACAGTCACTCCACGTGGCCGCACGGAAGTGCAGAGCCGGGATGTGGGAAAATTGTACCACGTATAGGAGCATTCAGTCACTTCGGCCCCCCCAAAGTGCAACCCAAGGTGGGTGAATTACGCCACAGTGCCCCTGTCCCCGAAATCGTGCGCCCAGGCCTATCCATGCCCGTGTTG